AGCCTGGGAAAACTTGGTTTGCCACACTGGGCCCGGGGCCAGCAACCACAGCCAGAGCACACGGCCCCTCCAGCTGTCAGGTAGGGACGGCATCTGGGCCCCTGTGGATGCTCCCTGCCCCTCCCCTACACACCCTGGAAACAGGATATGGTGGGAGACAGGGCAGGCTCCGGGCCATGGGGGCATGGAGGGTGTCCACATGCCAACCATCTGAATGAGGTGACGATGGGTAGGATCAGAGCAGGGTGACCTCAGGGCCCTGAGTCCTGGATTTGCAACTCCTTCAAATATCCAGGCTTCAAATATCTCCTTCAAATCCAGACTCTGATGCATGACTTCCAAGAGGTAATACCTCCTCCCTCCTATTACCTAGGGTTAATATCTGTATCGCCCTATATATGACACCCTACCTATAAGGACCAAACAATAATTAAATAACAAAATGTTTTCATCTACTTATTGTTTACCCTGCAACAGGCACTGTTACAAACACTTTACATTCATAAACTAGGCCATATTATTTTCCCAATCTTACAGGCACAGAGAAGCTAAGTGACATGTCCAAAGCTAGCTATTATTTTTACTAGGTGACTTACTTCCTCTTTTTGGATTATGGCAGTTTTGTCACCTTCCAAACGGGAATGTGGACTAAAGGTCCCGCCTTTCAAAGAAGGGTGCTAAGAAAACCCATTTCTTGTCTGAAAGTGCTGAGGCACCTCAGCCTCCCCTGGGCACAGAACAGTCAACCGTGGGGAGTGAGAGAGATCTGGGCCCCTGAGAGGAGTCGTAGCAAATGGGCCCCAGGTTCCTACTGCTGGTTCATTTGTCCAACATGCCGTGAATGGCTGCCCTGTGCCAGGCTGGGAGCATAGTGCTTGGGTGGAGGGCAGAGCCCATCCCCAAAGACTCATTCTCTTCTCCTTGACTGGCAGGAGAGACTTCCTCAGCCAGAACCTGCCTCTGGGAGCCTCTCAGGGGTGAGTACTGGGGATCTTGGGCTCTGTTAGGGTCTGGCCTGATGGTTCCACTCTGCCGGGGCGGGGGGTTAGTGGTGTTCCCTGAAGAGGCTGCCTTGCTGGGTTGGGGCACTGGCAAGCCTGGGCTTGAGTCTACTTGTGGGTAAATGGGAGTGGGTCCTCTGACCCCAGAGTGCTCCCTGGACACCAGTTGGAAGGTGTAGGTGAGAGTTAACGGGAGGCTCCTTAAAGCTCTCCTTGGGCAGCCCAGATGGATGGTGTCAGCGTCAGAGCCTTGGGAGACTGGGTGATAGTCCCACCACCCAACAGGCAGAGAGAGTCATGAGTCAGGTTCTACTTCCTCACCACATAGAGCATTTGGAGCTGGTTATTTGCCTCTGCATCAGATGCTAATTTCTGCCTGGCCTACATCCCCCTGGTTTGGGGGGAATAAGATAAAATGAAGGCTGGGAAGGTGTGCGTTATTATTACCAGTTAGAGCTCAGGTCAGACACCAGGGAGGACTTGCCCTGGCTTTGGGGAACGGCGGGGAGGAGGAACGGCAAGGGCAGAGGACAAGGCCCCTCTTCCCCAGAGAACGCCCTCCTGCGGGTGGGGCTGACGCTGGCCTCCAGGTCTCTAACTGCTTTTCTCTCTCCCGCAGGGACGCGGGGCCAGGCGCTGCGGCTGGGGGCGCTGCGACTGCTGCTTTTCAAGCTGCTGCTGTTTGACGTGCTCCTGACCTGCAGCCGCCTCCGTGCCCTGCCCTCCACGCTGGGGGACTCCGGGCTCCCCGCGCCCCCCAGGGCCCCCCTGGAGCCCCGCCGTCTCCCGCAGCCTCCCCCCGCAGCAGAGCCTTCAGCTCCAGCCACCTGGATTCGCTGCAGTGCTGGCGGGACGGCAGGCCCGGGGCTCACCCTGTCGCTGCAGCCCCGCCTTCTCGGCTGGGAGTCCAGGAGCCCGGTGTGGGAGGAGGGGACGCTCCCTACCCACCGAGCCTGGGCCTGGTGCTCGTGAGTCACCCTGAATTCCTGCCTCAAGCCTTGCAATCTTTGTGTGTGACCTGCCTCCTATTGCAGATGGAAATTTCCGGCGCTGGGGTTTGTCTCCCGCCTCGGATTGAGGGCCTTCTGAGGGAGAAGGCTGTATCTCTCCCATCAGACCGGAGCCGCTTGAGGGCGGGGATCCACAGGTACAGGGACCCTTGAGGAGCAGAGAACTGAGAACAATTAAAGGGGAACTTAAATGACATAAACAAATGAAACATATTTTAATTCACGTCTGCCCTGGGAGGAGGGGATTTGGCAGATTTTTAAGAAGCAGAAATCTGGGAGGGCTCCCTTGAAGAAGAGGGCTTCCTGAGGGTGAGACTCTGGGAACTGTAGAGTGATGCCAGGGTTTGGGGAAGATGCTGTCCTACCTCTGTCTCCTTCTCCGCAGGCAGGCATGGGGTGAGGCTCCCTCTCTGTCTCCCCATCCTGACCCAGCCTTTGCAAGAGGTCAGGACGAGGAGCCCAGGAAGCCAGGAAGGTGGGGTGCTGGGCCTGATGTGAAGTTTTGTACAGACTTGACAGAAATGAACAGGGCCAGGATCCCAGGGTAACAGGATCATATACAATGCCAAGAGCATGGATATTAATTACAAACTTACACCTTATTAATCAGTTAAGGGTCATTATTCATTTAACAAATATTCATTGAGCATCAACCCTGAGCCAGGCACTAAAGAGTCTTTTTGTTTCCTAAAGAGCGTTCTTACACTGATAGTATATGAGGCCCCCACAGTAGAGTGTCTGGCCTCTGTTTCTCCAGCACTGGCAGGAAATCCAGTCTTTCCAGGGGTTCCTCTCCAGTAATCACCCGCAGGAATCTCTGGGTGCTTTCATGTGAATCCAGGTGTCCCCTAGGCAGCACAGGACAGTCTGCTGGACAAGTGGTGCTACCTTTGTCTTTCTTCCCCCAAGGTGGTATTAGCAAATGCTCTAACATCACCCCCCACCACCACACACACACATGGTGTCAGTGACATTTCCATCTTTCCTGAGCCTCTGTGCCCTCTCAGCTACTGTTCCATGAAAACCCTCACTATCTGCCTCACAGCTCATCTCTCACCAGCCGGTAAGGAGATACTCCCGCCTCTTTTTGGATTCTTCAAGGAGGGGTATCCCACAACTTCTGGGGACAAATCCGTCCACCATCCCTACATGGCTTGCTCCTTCCCCAACACACAGACTGAGAAGAAGTATAAGCTAGGCTGGGTTGGGGCAAGGGCATGTCTGGCCATAACCTCAGACTTTCTCCGGCCACTGTCCATTTCCGGCCCTGAGCTCCTGCCAAACTGATTTGTGCCTCAGTAAATGTCCCGGGCTCAGTTGCCTACTGTGGCTGGCTTAACATTATTTCCCAGGAGGGTTCCTGGGCCTAGGTAAATCACTGGACTTGGCCAGGCTCTGAGTCTCCCCAAGTCTTAAGAAGCCTACAGAAGATGCAACATTGCAGAAGGGTGTCCTGATCCTGTGTGCTATAGAATTATACATACCACAGCCCCTTCGTATCTAAAGTGCCTTGTCACTTGCACAATTGTTTTTAGCAAGAAGCTAAAATCAGGAAATAACAAGTCAAAAGGCTGAGTATCAGTCCTAAGACTTCATAAAATAATATAAATATCCAATATCTAGGAAGGAAACATAGGGCACTGGGGAACAGAGCCTTGCAGACAAAAGTGTAATTTGCAGACAACTTCCCAGAAAAGCAGCCTTGGTATGTGTGTGTGTCCACAGGACACTGAGCTCAGGGGCAGTCTGAAGCAGCCCCAAAGACCCAGAAAGTCCTCCTCTTGATGAGGAGATGGGAACCCACTGAGCATCTCCTTATGTGGGGTACCCTGTCGTTGCTGGGGAGGCAGAAGGGAAATACAATTGTTCATTAGCCAAGTCCCTGCTTTGTAGGAGCTCAGAATCCAAGAAATAAATAATAGAGTAGAAAAGAGAACTAAGGTTACATACTAATAAAAAAAAAGTGTGAATTTTTTACAATCTGTTAATAAGCTTTAATTCCACAAACCTATTTGAGGTTGCCAGCCACAGGCAAGTCTTTAACAGCAGCTAGGAGCATCCTTGGTCATCATAAAGATAGAAACTGAGGCTCAGGGTGCCTGGCTGGCTCAGTCCATGGAGCACCCAACTCTTGAATTTGCGATTGTGAGTTCGAGCCCCACGCTGGGTGTAGGGATTACTTTAAAAATTAAAAAAAGGAAGAAAGAAAAGGAGGGAGGGAGGGAAGGCAGGAAGGAAGGGGAAAAAAGAGAAAAAAGAAAGAAAAAAGGGAGAGAGGGAAGGAAGGAAAAAAAGCAAGAGGCAAGAGAAAGAAAGGAAGGGAGGGAGGGAAAGAAAGAGAAAGAAAAAGAAAGAGAGAGGGGAAAGGGGGAGGGAAGGGAGGGAAAGAAGGAAGGAAGGGCGTGGAGAAGGAGGGAAGGAGAAGGAAGGAAGGAAGGAAGAAAGAAAGGCTTGGAGAGGAGGTAATTTGTTCTAGCTCTCCGGGGACAAAGCTGGGATTACTGGGCATTAAAAAAGCTGCTTGAAGGCTGGGGACTGAGTCGCCATGGTCTCACCTACACAGCCTACCAATGATTAGCAATTACAACAATAACAACAACTATAATAATAATAAAATTTTAAAACAGGTGCTCACTTAAGTGTTTGCTGCATTACAACCCCAGGAGGGAAGTGACGCGTAAAAAGGCGGCGGCGAAGGCCGTCAAGACAGCCTTCTGCACCTCTTGCAGGACCGACGAGCCCAACCTCGTCCCTTTCAGGCCTAGCCCACAGCTTCCCCTCTTGGCGTGCTGGTCCTCCAGCCGCTCCAGAGCCACCGTTAGTGGGTGGGGTAAGATGCTGCCATAGGACACTGAGGACACCATCTGTTTCCTCATTGGTCGAGGCCGAAAAAAGATCGCCCTCCCATTCGCTGGGGTGCAAGCCCCGGAAAACCCATTGGCTGCGTAGTCCGCGGGCCTTCGTCGGCTCTGAGGGCGGGCCGAGGCAGCCAGAGGAGGGAGCGGGCCGGGGGCTCCCTGTTGCCCTGGTTACGCCGAGGCACGTGTGCAGTCCCGGAAGCGGCTCCGGGAAGCTGCCCAGCGCGCGCAGTCGGAGGAAGCGCAGCCCGGTCCGCTGGGGTCGGGTCCGGCTGGGCCATGGAGCCGTTGCCTGAGCCCGCGCCCCGGCCCGGACCCCGCTGTCTTCTGCTTCTCTCCCTGCTACTGTTGCTGCTGCTGCTACTGCCGGCCCCGGAGCTGGGCCCGAGCCAGGCGCAAGCCGAGGAGACCGACTGGGTTCGACTCCCCAGCAAATGCGAAGGTGAGGGGGCGGGGCCGGCGGGGAGTATCCTGCCAGAGGGGCGGGGCGTGCAGAGAAGGGGGTGAGGGGGATGCAAGATCCTTGCCTCCTGAGCTAGAGTCTCTTCATTCATTGAAGCTACTGTGTGCCTGGCTCTGTGCTGGATGCTGAGGACACAGGGGCGGGCAAGGGATCAGGTCTCGGTGCACCTGGAGCGATCAAATCGGTACAAAAGAAGCAGTTATAATCCAGGGTGGTAGATGCCATGATAGATAACAGGCTCTGCCGAGTGAGGAGCATCTAATTTAGCCTAGGGATGGGGGAAAGGCTGTGTGTAGAGGAGAGTCAGGAAAGGCTTCGTACAGGAAGCCCAAACAATAATTAGGACTTAGCTGGGTGAAGAGAAGTGAAAAGAGAGAATGTCTTAGGAAGCCACAGATGCAGAGGCCCATAGGCTAAGAAGCAAAGGACAGACAAGTTTGAGGAACTGAGAAAGTATGTATGACTGTTCTTAGGGGAAGAAGAGCCTGAGAAAGTCCTTTCCCCTTTTGGCCCTCACCACAACCTAATCTGTGCAATTGATGGACTCCCCCACTAGCTCTGAGCTCCTTGAGGACAGGACCTTTTCTCAGATATTTATTCACACAATGCCTGGTACGCACCCAGTGAATATTTTTGGAATAAATAGGAATAAACAGGGACTGTGGGTGTGGGTGGAGGAAGGAGAAGGGTCTGAGGCCTAAGGGGAGAAGAATACAGGGCCACTTTGGGACAAGAGTAGAGCCTGGGGGAATTTGGTGAGGGAAGAGGATTTTAGGAATAAGGAGAAAATGAATCCCAAAGGTATAGAAGTGGAGGTGTGGAACTTCAGAGAGAGAAAGAGCACCAGCACCCAAGCCAGTGATCTGGGACTATGAAGGGCCATTCTTCCTCCCCCCATCTCTGTTTTCTCCCCGGACCTTCGCAGCCACTCCTTTCTTCCCATCTCTGTAACCCAAACCCCTCAGCAAGTTGGCTATAAATCCATTTCATCCCAATTCAAAGCATACAGCAGGCCAGATGTTCCCTAAGTCCTGGGAAGTGGGGGTGGGGTAGGTGGTTTGGGACACATAATCCTTTCATTTTCGAGATGAAAGATAAGATGCTTCAGACACGACCTGACTTCACCAGTAGGGCTCCCAGTATGGGTGCTAGCCTGTACCTTGTCCCTCAGCCCTATAAATAGGCAGAGGGTTGCAATGCTTTCCTTTCACTCTTTCTCGAGAACTCTTTTGCGGAGTTCATTTCCTCTCTTTGTTTTCAATCTTAGCCTCCACTGTGTCTCTGATTATCCTCATCGTCTAAGAAGCTCACATTTCTTTCCATTAGGAGGCATTCACAGACTCAGAAGCAGAGAGCTGGCAAAGATTTTAAGAGATCATTCTAGTCCAACCCCATTTTGTAGGTAATGGATAAAGATTAAAAGGCATTTTCAGGGGCACCTGGGTGGCTGAGTCTGTTAAGCATCTGACTCTTGATTGTGGCTCAGGTCATGATCTCACGGTTTGTGAGTTTGAGCCCCCACGTTGGGCTGTGTGCTGACAGCGTGGAGCCTGCTTTGGATTCTCCCTGTCCGCCTCTCTCTCTCTGCCCCTCCCCCATTGCACAGTCTTGAGCGCACATGGGTGCCCTCTCTGACTCAAAATAAATACATAAAACTTGAAAAAAATGGATTTTCAGTCACAGGATGGCTTGGCAAACTCTTAGGCTCCTCTTAATAGTGTATTTGCTTTTATTTATCATTGTTGCACCTTTGTTGTTAAATGCTGATTGTGTCTGGCCCACAAAGCCTGCCTCCTGGCTCAGTAGCCTCAGTGGAATAGGCCTTGGCACAGAGGAAGGAGAGCCTGCCTGGAAAAAGAGTAGGTGGGTGTCCAGGAGAGTCTGGGGCCTGTGCCATGAGCCTCCTCCAAGTCTGATTCTGGGTGGGATCCCCAGAGGGGGTCTTGAAGAGGTAAGATTTGGAAGAGTTGGGAAGCAAGGTTGTGGTTGATGGGCACAAGAGAGAAAGGAGGTTCCAGGTCCCCAGGGCCTGGAATCCTAAACGTTGAGGGCGTGGGAGAAAGGAGCAAAAGAGCCAGAAAAGCGATGAGCTCACACAGAGTACAGAACAGAGAGGGGAGGGGGACAGGTGTCCTGAATAGAGAGCCTGGGAGGTGAGCCACCTCGATTCATTGCAGACTCTGAGATCCCAGCCTATGTTTTGGAATTTTCATGTGTTCCAGATTCTCCAAGCCATCTATTAATGTGTACGTTATAAAATTTTACCAAGCAAGCCTTCAGGGGAGGTATTTGTTTTGGTGGTGAATTGGTCTCCTACCAAAGTCTGCTGTCAGTGTTACAGTCACTCTGATGGTGTTTAGCCTATAGATCATATTCATTCAGAGGCATCAGAAGCTGCTCGACCACAAACACAGTCTGTCAGCAATATTTATTAAGTATCCAACACACACACAGTCCTTGACTAGAGGAATACAGAAAAAAATCCAATACATGGTAACTCACTTTGGGTACCCTTATGGTCTAACTGGGGAGACACAAAATGGCCAAAGGCCCTCAGTGAGAGCATGGGTCCTGGATCCTGCAGAGACCCAGATAAAATCAGGAGCAGGTGGGATTGGTCCAGAAGAACTTCCCAGTAGGAGGAGGCTTTTAAAATGAAGCTGGGAGGGGTGCCTGGGTGGCTCAGTCGGTTGAGCGTCCGACTTCGGCTCAGGTCATGATCTCGTGGTCCGTGAGTTCGAGCCCCGCATCGGGCTCTGTGCTGATGGCTCAGAGCCTGGAGCCTGTTTCAGATTCTGTGTCTCCCCCTCTCTCTGCCCCTCCCCCGTTCATGCTCTGTCTCTCTCTGTCTCAAATATAAATAAATGTTAAAAAAAATTTTTTTTAAATAAATAAATAAATAAATAAATAAAATGAAGCTGGGAGAATGGGCAGAAAAGCCCCTAGAGGGCATTAAGTGCTCTCCCAGGGCCTCGGACAGGTCACGCTTTTAGTGGTAGTACTCCTTATGCAGTAGTAATTATCTGTTTACACTTCTTTCTACTCCATTAGACTGGATCTGGAACCTTGTTTTCATCTGTGAATCCCCGGCAGTGCCTGACACCTAGGAGTTGCTTAATAACTGAGGAAAAGTAAGAGGAAACGAGAAGGTGAATGTACAGAAACAGTAGAAATAAGGCCTCTGGAAGGGATGGAGCAAATTACCTTGGTAGGAACAGAGAGCTGGTAGTGGAACAACATACGAAATCAAGTAATAAAAGAGGCATACAAGACAGTTAGGGAAATTTGGGACAATTGGGGAAATTTGAATGTGGACTGTTAGGTGGTATTAGAATTGTTAATTTTCCGAGTATCAGTATGGTTGTATGGTTGGGTAGAAGAACGTCCTTATTCTCCAGAGATGCATGAGGACATTTTTAGGGGTGAAAGGTCATGATATCTGCAACTTACTTTTTATTTTATTTTATATCTTTTTTTTTTTAATGTTTATTTTATTTTTGAGAGAGTGAGAGCGTGAGCAGGGGAGGGCCAGAGAGAGAGAGAGAGAGAGAACTGGAAGCAAGCTCCAGGCTCCGAGCTGTCAGCACAGAGCCCGATGTGGGGCTCGAAACCTGAACCGTGAGAACATGACCTGACCTGAAGTCGGACGCCTAACTGACTGAACCACCCAGGTGTCCCTGCAACTTACTTTTAAAATGGTTTAGCAGGGGCGCCTGCTAAACGAGCGCCCGACTTCGGCTCAGGTTGTGATCTCGCGGTTTGTGAGTTTGAGCCCCGCGTCGGGCTCTGTGCTGACAGCTCGGAGCCTGGAGCCTGCTTCGGGTTCTGTGTCTCCTCCTCTCTCTGCCCCTCCCCTGCTCATGCTCTGTCTCTCTGTCTCTCAATAATAAATAAACGTTAAAAAAAAATTTTTTTTTTAATGGTTTAGCAAAGGGGTGACTTGGTGGCTCAGTTGGTTAAGCATCTGACTTCAACTCAGGTCATAGTCTCCTGGTTCGTGAGTTTGAACCCTGCATCGGGCTCTGTGCTGACAGCTCAGAACCTGGAGCCTGCTTCAGATTCTGGGTCTCCATCTCTTTCTGCTCCTCCCCTGCTTGTGCTCTGTCTCTGAAAAAAAAATAAACATTAAAAACAATTTTTTAATGGTTTAGCAGAAACAATGTATATATTGTTGAGATATATTACTATATTATCATATTATTTTATGTTACATATTGGAGAGAGAATGTAGCAGATCACTAACTGTTGACATGAGCGGAATGTATATAGTTATTCATTATACTCATTCAGCTTTTTTATATGTTTGAAAATTTTAAAGTAAAATGATTACAGAGGGTGGTGGGAGTGGGGGGCAGGAGGGAGCTGGGAGAAATGGAGTCAGCCAGGACTGGACATGGGGCAGTGAATCTTGGAGCCAAGTTTCCCCCCAGTGACCTCCATGGGGTGGTCTGGGACTAACTCCTTCCCTGCCTGGGGTGTTGACTCCGTCTGGGAGAGGCATCCACGTTGGTGTGGTTTGCTGGGAGCTGGCTTCTATCAGACTCACGTGCACTCAGTTGGCTGGGCTGTGTCTCCCTCCCCCAGTGTGTAAATACGTTGCCGTGGAGCTGAAATCAGCTTTTGAGGAAACCGGCAAGACCAAGGAGGTGATCGACACAGGCTATGGCATCCTGGATCGGAAGGCTTCTGGAGTCAAATACACCAAGTCGTAAGTGAAAGAGGGTACCCACCAGCCTGGCCTGCTTTGTTCGTAACGGCTTTAGAGGTTTGGAGTTCCCTTCTCCCTTCCAGCTAGGCAGACCCACCAAAGGGAGGCGGCTCTGACCAACACCTAAGTTTGCCCACTGGTTTTGCCCCCAACTATTTGTGTGGTCTTCATAAGTCCCTTTATTCCACTGAGCTTTGGACTTCTCATCTGTAAAAGCAAGACTGTTGGGCCTTATCTCATTCCCAGACTCTTGGATTTCATGGACCAGTGCAAATTAAAAAAAAAAAAAAAATTTGGTAATATAGGGTTACCAATCTTTAATTTTGCCAGGAATAAATATTAAAAGTAAAAATAACCCCCCCCCCAAAAACTTTCATCAGCTATGATGGTCCTTTCAAAATGAAATGTGTTGGAGCACCTGGCTGGCTCATTCAATGGAGTGTGTGACCCTTGATCTCAGGCTTATAAATTCAAGCCCCACGTTGAGTGTAGAGATGAGTTAAAAATAAACCTTAAAACAGAAAAAAAGAAATATTTTAACATCAAAACTTAATACATTTTGCTTTATAAAATCATCTAAATACTGAATCATTTAGCTTTATAAAAAATGCCTTCCCGTAGAGCTGTTACAATTTTGTCTCTCTGGTCTGTGTTCCAGCATTTCAGAGCCCCCAGACCAGATGACCTATCTTCCTTCCAGCTCTGACTTCCCTTTGGTGAGATGCGCAGGTGTTGGGGTAGCAGGGCTGGAGGGACGGACCACTGATCCACTGGGGCTAGGAGAGGAGTTCAGCCCCTCTCGTGCTGCTGTCTCTGCAGGGACTTACGGTTAATCGAAGTCACTGAGACCATTTGCAAGAGGCTCCTGGACTATAGCCTGCACAAGGAGAGGACTGGCAGCAACCGGTTTGCCAAGGTTGGATTTGTGCTGTCCTTCATCCCCACTGGGGCCAGGCCTGGAGGTGTCTAAGTGGTCTGCTGGTGTGGGTGTGATTTGGAGATCATGCTTGGGGAGCTTCTCTCCTTGGCCTCTTCCCATTCTTCATCGGCCACGGTGTGCATTTCTCCCCTTCTGAGTGGCCTGGCTTTTCAGTGGCGATAGGCACATTCTTCATGGCCTGGGCCTGCCCATCAGGGCCCTGTCTCAGCCTCAGACTGAAATGCAGGGTGGCAATCCCCGTGGAGGCCTGATCACTTGCTCAGTGAGAGCTCAGGCAGTACAGACCTGTGGGCTTTAGAGATGTCAGAAGACATGGCAGGGTGGGGGTGGGGTTAATACCTCATTCCCCTGGGCCCACTGGGCACGCACCTGGACTGCTGTCAGGGTGCCTGTGTAACATTCAGTGCACTTACTGTATGTGTGAATGGCTCTGTCCCTGAACAAGGAGTTTCTCACAACAAGGCCCATAGTTCTTTGTTTCTACGTCTTCAGTGCCTGGCACATGGTAAGAGACTTGCCTCCCACATTTCTCCATCCACCTACCCTTCCAGTGAAGTCGGTTAGTGAGAAACCCCTGGGAAACCTAGAGAGATAGTCTTAAGCAACAGAAGTCTTAAATTTTTTAAGTTTGTATGAATTTTGTATTCTACTCAGTAATAAAACCATGTTTTGCTTTAATATAAAAATGTTTATGGGGCCCCTGGGGGCTCAGTTGGTTAAGCATCTGACTGGCTCAGGTCAGGATCTCACAGTTCATGAGCTCAAGCCCTGCGTTGGGCTCCACGCTGATGTCGTGGAGCCTGCTTGGGATTCTCTCTCTCCCTTTCTGTCTGCCCCTCCCCTACTTGTGCTTTCTCTCTCTCAAAATAAATAAATACACTTAAATTTTTTTTAATGTTTGTATTTATTTTTGAGAGAGACAGAGCATGAGCAGGGGAGGGGCAGAGGGAGAGGGAGACACAGAATCCAAAGCAGGCTTCAGGCTACGAGCTGTCAGCACAGAGCCTGACATGGAGCTCAAACCCATGAACCACGAGATCATGACCTGAGTCAAAGTCGGACACTTAACTGACTGAGCCACCCAGGTGCCCCTAAATAAATAAACCTAAAAAAAAAAAAAAGTTTAAGATTATTTTCCGTAGCAGTAAAATTAGAAACAACCTAACCATTCACCAGGGGTTAAATAAATTGATGTGGCCATTCAGTGGACAAAACAAAGAATGAGGTAGCTCTTTGTGGCGTGAATTAAAATTATCTCCAAAGTCTGTTAATAAGGCCAGGTGCAGAAGAGTGTGTCTGCTGTATACTATTGCTTGTGTAAAAAATGGGGGTGAGGAGGGCAGGATGGATTTGTATGTATATTTGTTTGTATTTGCATGCATTACCTCTGGAAAGATAGAGGAAGTAGATGATGTGTAGGTGTAGTCTCCAGGGAGAGGACCTAGGTAGCTGGCAGAAATATTTTTATAGAACTGGGTCCTCCCTGCCTCACTCGTGCCCACTTCCAACCCAGGAAAGGCACAAGCCCTAGGAAGAATTAGAGCAGTGAGCGGGTCTAGACGTGGGGGCGCGAGTGTTCCTGGCCACAGTGAGGGGAAAGAGCAAAGGCACACTTAATTCCTGGGAAAGGAGTATCTATTCAAAGGGCCAGAAGGCAACAGCAGCCCTTTTGGGGATTTTTGTTTGTTTCTTTAAGTTATTATTATGATGATGATTTTAATAGCGAGAGGGGAAGAGAGAGTGACGGGCAGAGCGAGAGGGAGAGACTCTTAAGCAGGCTCCATGCTCAGCACAGAGCCTGACGCGGGGCTTGATCCCACAACTGTGAGTTCATGACCTGGGTCAAAGTCAAGAGTCAGATACTTAACCTACTGAGCCACCCAGGCGCCCACACAGCAGCCCCTTTTGAAAGGGGGAGGTGTGGGGAGGCAGGATAGGTTGTGTGTGATTGTGTGTGTGTAGGTGTGTAGGTGCGTAGGGGTTGTGGAGTAGGCCTGAAAGAGGGGAGAGGAAAGTGAGGTCCAGTGTGAGAAGCCTTGAGAGTCCTGGCTTCTCAGAGCTGGGTCCTTGGGCCTCCAGCACCACCTGGAGAGGAGGGTGGGAGGTAGGGAAAGCTCCGCTTCTCATGCCTGGTTGCCTCTTCCAGGGCATGTCTGAGACCTTTGAGACACTGCACAACCTGGTCCACAAAGGGGTCAAGGTGGTGATGGATATCCCCTATGAGCTGTGGAATGAGACCTCTGCAGAGGTGGCTGACCTTAAGAAGCAGGTATGGGCCTTTTGGCCCTCAGAGCCTACCGTGCCCCACGGGGGTGGGTGGGGACTGGGTCTGGGGCTGAGGAAGGCCACCAAGAGCTGGGAGGCTTTGATCAAGTCATCTCACCTCTCTGCCTTCAGTTTCCTCAGGAGAATCACAGCCACCTGCCTGCCCTGCAGTGGGTTGTGAGGCTCAGCTGAGCTCCCCCGGGAGCGAGTCAGTGCTGGGGCTTTGCCAACGCAATGTATTCTGATTCATAGTGCGACGTGTTGGTGGAAGAGTTTGAGGAGGTGATCGAGGACTGGTACAGGAACCACCAGGAGGAAGACCTGACTCAGTTCCTCTGCGCCAACCACGTGCTGAAGGGCAAGGACACCAGTGAGTCTGAGGGAGGGAGAGGGCAAGGTGGGTGGGCCCTCAGCTTTACTGCTTGCCCCCCCCCCCCCCACAGGGGAGGTGGGTAGGGAGGGGACAGAGAAGAGATAAGACCTAGAAAGCACCATACCCTCAAGGAGCTTGATGGGACAGCGTGGAGTAAGAGGTACTGAAACCAGGTGCAGAATAACATGGCGGTAACTCAGATGCCCCCAGAGGGGCCTGGAGGCCCCAGAGAGGCAGGAGGAGGGGACCTGACACCACTTCCAGTTGCCGCTTCCGGGGCCGCCCAGTCAGTGCTCCTCACCCAGCAAACCAGTCTGTTGAGGGTGTCTCTCCTCTCCCCAGGTTGCCTCGCAGAGCAGTGGTCCGGCAAGAAGGGGGACACAGCCGCCCTGGGAGGGAAGAAGTCTAAAAAGAAGAGCGGCAAGGTCAAGGCCTCGGGCAGCGGCAGCAAACAGAGGAAGGAGCTAGGTGGCCTTGAAGAAGACCCCAGCCCCGATGAGGATGAGGGCATCCAGAAGGCATCCCCCCTTACACACAGCCCCCCGGATGAGCTTTGAGCCTAACCCAGTGCCCCCTGTATTGTGACCCCTGACCTGGAAGCTGAAGAATCTGGGGCACAGCTCTGGCAGGCAGATGGCTGTCCCTCTCCAAGTCCTCCCTGCCATGCTGGCTTCCTGCCGGGAAAGACACAGGGCCAGGGAAGAGCTCAGATCAGCTGCCGTCAGCCTACCGACCTCCTCCCTCTGCCAAGCGGCTGTCCTGACCCAGGCTTCAGGCAGGCCATGCGATTTCACGCCTGCCAAGGACTCCAGTATGAACTCCGGAGGGGCAGGTGTGGAGAGGGCACCCGGCCTTCACCTCCCCTCACTCCTTCCCAGCAGGGAAGCAAGACTACAGGCCTCCCCACCCCTGCTTATCCCCTCCTGTGGACACCTTGCACTCTGCCCGGCCCTCCCCAGGGCTCACAGAGTAAAAACCTTTTGGCCTTTTTTGTTCTGATTTTTGAGTCCCCTCCAGCTCCTCAGAGGGGCCTGGAGTCCCAGTTGCTCTCCTCCCTCTCCCCTTCCAGCCCAGGGGGGCCAAGGGTGGAGAGGCGGCTCCCATCCCCCATTATTGAGGCTGGGCCTGCCAGCTGTGGGGGGCAGCAAGTGCCAGGAGGGCCCAGGTTGTTTTGGGGTGAGGCTCAGGACTGGGCTTTGGCCCTGCCCCTCAGCTGCCTTTGGACTCCCTAAGCTCCCCAGGCCAGGAGGGGCCTCACTTGTGCCCTGGCCACCTGGCTGGGCTCCCGCTGGCTGCCTCTCCTCTCTCGCGCAAGGCCTTCCCCTTTGTTGTGTAAACTGTTTACTGGTGACCCCGCCAGATCCCACCCCTCCTTCCCACCTCATCTGCCCTACTTGTTGGTCTTGAACCTTGTTCCCTGATGACCACAGCTGGTCACTCTGCTCTTCCTAGCTGTTGTGCCTGGAGTCTGGAGGGGAGGACACCCCAGCCCCCCAACAACAGCTGGTTACACAACGTTCTCTGGGTGCAGGGGAAGAACAGGAAGGCTGGCCCCTAGGGAGAAGGGGTGGGAGGCCCAGGCACCTCCGCATTCTGTCCTGAGGGCAGGGATCAGGCCCTCAGTAGCGATAGTGAGGACAGCGGCACGCACTCCCAGGGCTTTAACTTGAACCCTAACAACTCTTGGGGGTGGGTGCCATTAGCCTCATTTTGTAGAAGGTAAAACTGAGGCTCAAATTAAGTGACGTGCCCAAGGTCCTGCCGTTAGTAAGTGTGCAGCTGGCACGACTCTGGGTCCATTGTATTTCCCCTACCCTGAAGCTGCCAGCTCCTTCACCCAACACCTGGCACTGGCAGTGTGGTCCACACTGAACTGGTTTGGTTTCTTAGCCAGAACTCCACCCTTACCAGCATGCCTCTTTTCAAAGGAAAGGAGGAGGCTTCTTAGGAGGAGACGATGGCAGAATGTCCTGCCAGCGTGGCACCCCCACCAGGTGCCCTGTGGGTCCCCGCACAGACTCTGTGCTTCTGGCCTGGGCCTGCTGGGCCGGGGGAGATGCACTGCCGAAGTGCCGCAGACTCTGGCTCTGGTGAAATGTTCCAGGGCCTGAACTGGGGGTGTGGGGCCCCTCGTAGCCTGGGCTCAGGCCCACTTCTCCCCTGAGTTGGGGCAGCCAAGGTCATAGAGGGTGGAGGAAACGGAAAAATTTTCTTCCGGCTGGTGAGGCTTCCAACAGGTCCTTGGAGAACGATGCTTTTTTGGGTCAGCCCCTCTGCCCCCACCCATCTCCAGGACCAGTACTGCCCCCTGTTGAAGGGGCTGTGGGCAGTGAGAGTCCAGTCGAGACTCAGGTCCCACCCGGGACTTTGTTCAAGGGCTGGAGCCCAGGGCTGGGGAACTGTTTGCAGCCCCCCTGGACTGTCCAGGATTTCATGGCTAGTCTCTGATTCCCCCATTATGTCACTGACCCACAGCACCTCCGTGCCTGCCTTACATCAGTCCCTAGAGCTTCATTGGTCCTTAAAGTAGGATGAGACAAGACCTGTCCCCTTACTGGGGTGTTGATCCAGTGGCCCAATCCAGACCCAGTCCCAGACCAGAGGGCAGACAGTGCTGTGACTGCTTTGCTCTTTGACCTGTGGCTGCTGCATGAATAGCACCTTGTTCCTCCCCCACCACCACCCACAAGGCCAAGCAGGTTGCACACACTAGCTCTCCACCCACCCACCCCAGTAAGCAGCCTCTCCCTCCCCCCCACCCCCACCCCGCCCCCAGCCTGGAAGAGCCAGAGGCAAGATCCAGCTTTCCAGGTTTTTCTTTTTCTCTCCCTACCACACCTACAAGCCTTTCTGAACTTGACTATGCTTTCCACTCTCCCACACCCCTTCTCTCCATAAGATGAGGGTACTGGCTGAGCTGGAGTTAATCTGATTTTAGTCCCTTAATTAGAAATCCTGTTAAAACAGGGTTTCCTAAACTCACCCGAACATGAAAAGTCACATGGAATGGTGGTTAAACATACAGATGTCTGGGCCCACCTGATTTGCTGGGTTGGAGACCTAGAAGTCTGCATGCTTAACAAGCCTCTCTCATGGTTCTCAAGATGAGGCCAGCTGGACCCCACTATACCAGGAGAAACAGGGTGTCTTGCTAAGAGGGGAGAGGGCCTCAATGAAATCACAAGGTCAGTGTCTTGCCCTCAGAAACACAACTTGTCGGAACCCCAGAAAGGATCTGTCTCTCAGCCATCATCCAGAACCACAAAGGCCGATGGGCAAACCAGAAAGCATTTCTTTCACTTCCATGATTAAAAGAACCACAGGCCCTGGTAGTGGAGTCTCAGGGTTTGGGGCTCTGTAGTCTCAGGGGCGGCTGCACAAGGACTCTGTATTTATTCTAGAGGACAATCGCTAGGAAGTTTCTTCAACTTCCCAGTTCCTGGGTGGTATTTCCATGCAGCATCTTTTTGCAGGTTAGAAAATGGTGCTCTTCACACCTTTGACTTCCGTCTGTCAGAAAGTTGTCTTAATGTCAGTTTTGTTAGAATAAGAGACTGACTACCAGGATCCTGCCAGAAAATAATAAATTTACAAACCCATGAATGGCAGTCCCTTAAATATGGAACCTTTGTGTGGTATCCAACTGCCCCGCATCATTTCTGTTCACAAGTGTGAGCAAATGCCTCTTCTTTTTTTTTTTTTTAATCTCAAGTTTTTAATCATATTATTTTAGAGAGAGAGAATCTTAAGCAGTCTCCACACTCAGCACCGGAGCCCAATGCAGGGCCCGATCCCCCGACCCTGGGATCATGAGTTAAGCTGAAACCGAGTCTGATGCTCAACCAACTGAGCCACCCAGGAGCCCGATTATTATTATTTGTTTTTAATCTTAAGGCATGCTTTTTGCTACAGATGCATGGTCCAAACCTAAGTGGTTTATAGGAGGGCTCTGTGTACTAATCCTAGCAGCAGAGCCAGCTGAATCTCTCTTAAACATCCTCTGATGGCCTAGTTTGCTCTAGTAAGGAGTTTCACTGGAATAATAGTAACCACTATTTTTTGAGTGCTTACTATGTGACACAGTTGTACATGCTTTACATAATTATTTAACACTACTATGATCTCAAGGCCATGGATTTCTAAAAACTCAAAGTACAGAAAAGTGCTTACAGCTCAATGAGTTTTTACAAACTGAAAACCCAAGTCATTTGCACCCAGCTCATACCATTGCCCCCTACACACACACACACACACACACAGGGAATGTCATCTATTTTGTTTACTGTTGTATCCCCAGCACTTAGTATAGTGGATGGCACAGAATAGCTGCTTAATAAATACCCATTGAATGAAAGGTTAAATAACTTGCCCAAGGTCACACACGAGTGGCCCTAGCAGGTTATGAGCACAGGCGGAATGGCTTCAGTGTCCTGAGGCAGAGCCATGAGGCCACAGTACCCTGGAGCTATGGGTTGGCTTAGGGCACCACCCGTCTCTTACATGGCTCTCTTCTAGAAGGCAGCCCAGCTATGCAGTCTGCTAGTCTATGTCTTCCAAGTTCAACATGGGGAATGCAATTAGGAGCAAGACAACTTTCAAGTCTCTCCCTTTTCAGAGTTTACTGTTGCATATAGGTGAAAGCCAGCTTGACCCTTATGCTGCCCTCAAGGGCTGGATTTTTTTTTTTTTTCAGTAATCTCTACACCCAACATGGAGTTCAAACTCACAACCCCAAAATCGAGAATCACATGTTCCACCCATTGAGCCAGCCATGCACCCCTCAAGGGCTGGCTCCTGTTTACAATGTCTTTCTTTTTTTTTTCCAAAAATTTTTAATGTTGTTTTTTTTATTTTTATTTATTTTTTTTTTTTACGTTTATTTATTTTTGAGATAGAGAGAGACAGAGCATGAACGGGGGAGGGTCAGAGAGAGGGAGACACAGAATCTGAAGCAGGCCCCGGGCTCTGAGCTGTCAGCACAGAGCCCGACACGGGGCTCGAACTCACAGACTGTGAGATCATGACCCAAGCTAAAGTCGGACGCTCAACCGACTGAGCCACCCAGGCGCCCCCAAAAAATTTTTAATGTTTTATTTATTTTTGAGAGAGAGACAGACAGACAGAGTATGAACGGGGAGGGGCAGAGAGAGAGGGAGAAACAGAATCCGAAGCAGGCTCCAGGCTCTGAGCCGTCAGCACAGAGCCAGACGTAGGGTTTCGACTTGTGAACCACAAGATCATGACCTGAGTTGAAGTCAGACACTTAACCGACTGAGCAGCTCAGGGGCCCCTGCTGTTTACAATTTCTTGAAGAGGAATCCAACGTTACTCATTCTTTCTTTAAAATTGTGCTCTCCATCTACTAAGGTTGTACAGGCCAAGAGAACTTAAGCTTCCTTTAACACGATCATGACTGTTTGTAAGGAAGTGTTGCCCATTGAGAGGAGAGAGAAGCAGGCTGACTCCGTCACCAGTTCCAAGGGCAGCAACACCTCCTCCCACCACCAATCACCCCAAAAGATAAAAGGTTCTCAGCCCAAAAAGGGGAAGAAAACAAAAAGACACTCAAAAAGCTAGATTTTTATGTTGTTCAGAATTACGCACCAAAGTGTCTTGGTGTTTTACCATTCGTCTCATCCAGACATGATGGCATGTGTAAATCGCCTGTCTGAGCAGTGCTTAGTTAGCATGTTGCCAGGGCTCAAATAGTATATCATTTTCCTGTGGAAGAGTACAGCTCAGTGAGCAGATTGGTATACACAGAAGAGATCTTACTGAGCATGAGCACACCTTACAACGGCTTTTAATAGTATGAAATGATCAAAGGAAGCCTCTCTTCTTACACATTGGTGGAATTCTTACACCATTAGTTAGTGCTGCAATCCACTGATGTAGGGACCAATTCTACACTCACTTAACAGGACTTTTTTTTTTTTTTTATGTACTTAAAGCATTTTTTTAATTTTTAAAAAGACTGTGGTAAACTACCC